GAACGCATGCTCACTGACAACAGGGGACAGACCCTGCCTCTTCTGCCAGGAAGGGATCCCCCTACTGCCCACCCACATCCCCTAACCCAGCCTTGTCCTTGTCACCATATGCTTTGGACATTTATTTTTAAGATTTCTCTCTTTCTTTGAAAGGCAGCGTTACAGAGAGGGAGGGAGAGAGAGAGACAGACAGACAGAGAGGAGAGACAGAGAGACAGAGAGATCTTCCATCTGCAAGTTCATTCTCCAAACTGTTGCAGTACTCAGGGATGGACCAGGTGGAAACCAGAAGCCTGGGACCCCTGGGTGGCAGGGATCCAAGCCATGAGCTATTTTTGCTGCCTTCCCAGGAGCGTTAGCAGGGAGCACGGCAGCTGGGACCCAAACCAGTGGCCATATGGGATGCTGGAGTGACTGCAGGTGACTTGACTGGCTGCCCCAAAAGGCTAGCCCCACCTCTGGGGGGAATTTTCCATGAAGCATATGGCCCAGGGCTGCCCTTGGCTCCATCCATCAGCTGCTCCCTGGTTCTCCATTAACCACTGGCCTCTAACCCAAGTGCGTGTCCCTACGTTGTCTTTTGGGATACGCTCACCTTGGTATAACAGGGTCATGCCCATGTGGTATGCCTCATCGCTTGCCTGGATTGTTTTAAAACCTGTTGCTCTCGCACACCTGCTAAGTCAAGTTCCAACGCCCCTGGCCGCCAGCCAGCCAGAGCCACCCCAAGCCACCCTCCCACAGTGGGCCAGGCAGGGAGGAGCCCCCTCCTTTATAATCCCTGTCTTTCCTCCCTATTGTCCCCTGTCCCCCAATGACCCCAATGGGGCTGGCTGCTAAATACCCAAGTGCCATTTTTCACCGACCAGCCCAACCGATTCAGAGCAAGGTCCCTCCACACTGAATATTGTTCTCAGATCCTGCATGACCCTCTCACCAGCACCTCCAGGCTGGGCATGACCATTGGGGCTGGATCTAGAGAAAGGAGAGACAGATCAGCTTTGCCACGGGATCTGGGCAAGCCAGAACTGAGCAGTGAAGACACTGGTGCCTTCAAGGGGTTTGGTGCACTGAGTCCCGCCAACGGGTGAGGGGTGTGGATCTCAGCTCCCCCGGATCTGTAAGTGTGTTGCAGGCCCTGGCCCAGCCTTCGCAGCACCCGTTTGCTTCCCTGTGATCAGAAGCAAGTCCTTCTGGGCACGTTTCAGGAGGCTCCAGCCAGGCTCTGCTGTGTGTCACCCAGACTCCCATTTCACAGCCCAGGAAAAGCAAGGCTGGACAAGCGCCCATGGGAAGCTGTTTCGGAACGGGATTCTGCCATCCGACCAGGAGCGCACGGTGATCGGGGTCTCAGGCGGGGACTGCTTGGCAATGGGACCAGCCCGCGGGTGAGACGAGACGAGGGCGTCGCCCCAGCCCCGCGCCGCGGACCGTGGGGGGCTCCGCGGAGTCCGCCCCCGCCGGGTCGCGCGTGGGCGCGGCGGGCGCCCATTGGCTGGCGGGGCGCGCGGGCGGGCGGGGAGCGGCGGCGGCGCGGAGGGCGGGTCACCCCTGCCGCGGCCCGGCCTGCGCCGCTCGCCGCCCCGCCCGCCCCGCCGCCGCCGCCGCCGCCGCCGCACGTCCCCCCCGCCGCGGCCACCATGAGCACGGGCCTGCGGTACAAGAGCAAGCTGGCGACCCCAGGTGAGCCCGCTGTCCGCCGCGCGCCCACACGCGCGCGCGCGCGCCTCTTTGTCCCCCCCGCCCGCCCCTCACCGTGTCTTTCCATCTCTCCCCGCCGGCTGGAACCCGCCCCGGACCCTGATCCCGACCCCGACCCCGACCCGGCTCCACAGACGACAAGCAGGTACGTGCGCGCGCGCCCCACCAGCACTCCCTGCTGTCAACCCATTGTGGCACTGGGGCGACCCCGCCCCCCGCCGGCCGTGCCCCAGCCCCAGCGTCGCGGTCACTGGTCATCGCTGGTCAGCGCCAGGGTGGGCGCCGCGCGCCGAGGATGCTTTTCCAGCCAGCAAGGGACAGTGAGCCCCCTCCCTGCCCAGGGTGGGTGATGGGATGGACGCCCCTACCTTCTGGTCCAGCACCCTGTGTCGCGTCTTAGGCCACGTGCGGGGCAGGGAGGTGGTCCTGAGGGAGGTCAGATTCACAGACGGCGCCGGGGTGTAGGGGCGGGCTCCAGGTCCATTAGTTGGGGGGTGCACCTCTGCTGGGGGGAGCACCTCTGTGTCCCCTGATGTGTGTGTAACCCCTAAGATTCCAGGGTACATTGCTTTGTGACTTGCTGCCTGCTGAGGCCTCCTCATCTGAGTCATCCCGGTGCCCACCCAATGGGTCTGCTGGAGGGGTTGGCTTGCTCTCCCCCCCACCGGGGTGGGTGCTGGCCTTGGGCACCGCCTTGTGCAAATAGAATGATGGGGGGGGGTGTGATGCGAAGCTTTGAGATCTGACAGCAGAGGAAGCAGTGGCTAGCAAGGTGGGTGGGGGGTCTCTGCTGGCCTCTCTGGCTTAAACCCAGCTGGTTTTGAGAGGGGTGGGGGATGAGACTGGCTGGTTGAGGCCGTGGTGAAGCAGCCCCCATCAGAACTAGAATGTGTACACTTGCAAGCCCCCCGCCCCAGAAGTCCCCTTGGAGTTCTGGCCCAAGCTGGGCAGGAACTGTGAGGCAGGTTGGGTGGGGTACCCCTCACCCGGCTGCCTGGCAGGGGACCGCACTCTGCCCCTCAGGCAGGTGTGCCTGGCTCCCCCAGTAGCCTGCGTCAGGCAAGGGGCTGCTTCTCCATCTAACAGTCAGACAAAGCCTGAGAGGAGCTAGGGACTCCCAGGCAGCCAGCTGGGCTATTGTTCAAGGGAGCCAGGGGCACAGTCCAGCCCCTCCCTGAGGCTTCTCCAGGGACTGCGGTGCCTCCTCCTTGGCATAGCCTGGGGGTTTTCAGGATGCCCAGACCCTCCCCTCCCCCCCCCAGCACCAGCCAGCTCCCCCTGCCTCCACCCTGTGTCTGCTGCCCATCCTTCCTTTGCAGTCAGCCAAGGTGGCCAGCCTCACCCCCATGGCCCATCCCCCAGGCCTGGACAGACAGGGCATACAAGTGGGCAGTGCGGGGGAGAGGCCTGGCCCTGGTGGGGTTAAGGGGTGTTTGGATCTGGGGGACACAGGCTAGCTTGGCTGTTATCCCTGTGGGTGCCACTGAGGCCCAGCATCTATCCCAGCTTCATTTCAATCCTGTGAGTTTGAGGGTTGGGGGTGGGGGCTCCGTCTACCCATGTGTCCACCCCCGGCCCCCCCACCTCCTCTCGGGCAGTGGCCTTGTTTGCCGCTTTCGGAGCTGACAGAGATTCTAAGAACGGAGATGCCTCGAGAGTTCCCAGCGGCAGCTGTGGGCACTGCTGCACTGCTTGGCTCAGACAGCCCCTAGGGGTGTTTATGGGGATGGAGGGGTGGGAGGACTCCAGATGTGGGACTTGACCAGGCCCACTGGGTGATGAGAGGAGACTCTTGCCCTCTTCTCTACCAGAGAGCTGTGCTTTACAAGAGGGGAAACTGAGGCAGCTCGCGTACCTCCAGCTCCCATCAGCCAAGCAAGAGCTTGGGGTGCCCAGATTGGCTGCCAGCCTGAGGTGTGGCCAGGGGTGTGCTCCAGGAGGTGCTCCAGTGGCCCCTGAGTCTCCAGCCGCTATGAGCAGGCCAAGGACTATGTGTGTGTGTGTGTGTGTGTGTGTGTGTACTGGACGCTGGCAGGGCGGGCAGAGGACTGGCCAGGGCCAGTGAGAAGGTTTCCTGTGGCCGCTGCTGGGAGTGGCAGCAGCGGGGCCAGGGGATGAAGGAGGCTCTTGTTCCCTGCTGGGGGCTGGCCCTCCCCTGCAGGTGGGAATGGCTGGAGGCCATGGAGTGGGACAGAGAGTGGGACTAGGGGGAGGGGGAGTTGGGCAGAGTAGCCAGGGGCAGCTCTTCTGTTCACCTAACATCCTTCCCAACTTGCTTTCCGGCCCCACGGGCTCGGGCTTGGTGCCACGCCGGGAGGCATGGTTAGGAAGACAGGATGAAGAGAAGGTCCGCTGGGCTCCTGAGGTGGCCTTCCTGGTTTGGGAGTGGCCAGGGGGTTCCTGGAGCCACCACATCAGGGCAAGGGCCCTGTCCTGTGGCTCAGGACCAGAGGGCAAGCTCACAGGTGACCCAGGTGGCTGCAGGGACGTGTGGGCAACTCCAGGTCATCCGTGCGGGGGAGGGGGGCATCTGAGGCCAGCAGGGTAAGTCAGCTAGTGGTGGTCCAGTTTGTATGTAAGAGGGTAATCCCCCTGTCCCTTCCCCCACCGCAAGCGTCACCTTCTGGAGAGAGGGGTGGGCTCTGAACCTTGCCTGGGACTCCAGCATATCTTGGGGGATCGGGGCTTGGGGGACTCCACAGTGGGAAAGAATCTCCCAAACATGCACCCACGCCTGGGTATGTCATCCACATGGAGCGGAGGGGTGCAGCGAGTGCAGCCTGCATGGGGCCCTGGGGGCGCGGCGACACTGCCAGGAGGGTCCACAGGCCGTGTCTGGAGCAGCGCGAGGGTGGGCGGTGGGTACTGAGTGGGGTCGATTCCATGCGGTTGCATGCGTCATTGGAAGTCCTGCGGGCGCCCTCTGGCAGGCAGAAGCCGCGCCGTAGCCTGGGCATTGGAGACGCCCCACCCCATCCGACCCATTGCTGGTCCTCTGGTCCGCGTGGGCGACCCCGCCTCGCCCCGCGCCGTCAGGACACCCTAACACAGAGGCCTCCCTTGGGTGTCTCCTGAGCGGCTCTCGGTGCACGCAGCGCTGTGGCCGCCTGCGCGCGCGCTCCGCGGCGGCTCCGCCCGGTGGCCCCAATTTGCAGAAAACCGTTTCCCAGCGACGGCGGGCGGGGCCCAGCGCCCCGCCGCCCCCCGCCGCCTTCCGCGGAGCCCCGCCTCCAGCGCGCGTGCGGGAGCCGGGCCCGCCCCCAGGCCGACGCAGCTGCCAGCGCGCTCGGGGGTGCAGCGCCCAGGAGAAGGGGGGCGGATGGCGCCGTCGACGGCTCGCTGGACCGGCGACCCCCACGGTGGACGGCCACCCCGCTGCGGCCTTGGCCTCCGTGCCCGCTGAGCGGGGGCGAGAGCAAGGCGTAAGGGACACAGTCCTGGCAGTGAGTCCTTAGCGAGCGCCCGGCTCCTGCTGGCTGGCCTTGAGGTCCACGCGGCCGGGCAGGGAAACCAGGGTGTTGGAGAAGGGGGGAGGTTGTCCATCGCCGCCATGGACTCCCTGGCTGCGCCCCAGGACCGCCTGGTGGAGCAGCTGTTGTCACCGCGGACCCAGGCCCAGCGGCGGCTCAAGGTGCGTGCGTGTGTGGAATGTGGGTCAATGGGTGCACGCTCTGCCCGACCCAGCCCAGAACCCTGAGGACGACTTGGGTCACAACGTGGCAGTGGCTGGCAGGGCCGGGGGGTCTGTTCTGGGGCAGGCGGACGGGTGGGGGAGGTTCCCGGCCATTGGCTATAAATAGCCCCTTTCTACTGCCGTCGCCACCCCCCACACACGCTCGGTTGGATCGTGGCCAGGAGGGGCCACATTTTTTGCGCTGTGGCGGACCTGGACTGTGTCCAGGGTCGGTGAGGGGTGGAGTGGAGTGAAGCGGGGGTCCGAGTCCTAGGGCCTCCCACACAGGAAGGGAGGGTCCTGCCCGTTGGAAGGGACCTCCCGGTGCATCTGAGGAGGTATCCCCCGTGCTGGCCACCCCTCCAATGCACCTGGCCCACCCACATCCCCCTTCCCCCGCAGGACATTGACAAGCAGTATGTGGGCTTTGCCACGCTGCCCAACCAGGTGCACCGCAAGTCGGTAAAGAAGGGCTTTGACTTCACGCTCATGGTGGCCGGTGAGTGGGCAGGGAGAGCCTGGGGCGGGGGCAGGGACAGACACACAGAGCTGACCAGACTCCTCCGCTGTCCCTGTGGGGCAGGTGAGTCCGGCTTGGGCAAGTCCACACTGGTCCACAGCCTTTTCCTGACTGACCTGTACAAGGACCGGAAGCTGCTCAGTGCCGAGGGTGAGTAACCCTTCCCCCTCCCACCCCTCGCCCCAACCCCAAGACAGAGTCCTGTCCCGCTGACCTCTGCCTGGACCTCCCCACCTTCCCGGCCCATGAGTGGGGGGGTGTGGCCCAGCTCTGTGGTCAGGGCTGTGCAAGGAGGGTGACTGAGGCCGCCTCTCCCCCACGCAGAGCGCATCAACCAGACGGTGGAGATCCTGAAACACACGGTGGACATCGAGGAGAAGGGTGTCAAGCTAAAGCTCACCATCGTGGACACGCCGGGCTTCGGCGACGCGGTCAACAACTCCGAGTGGTGAGGGAGGAAGGGCCTGCCCCATCCCCACCCGGGGAGCTGGGTGCCATGGACTCACACCCACCGGGAAGCTGGGCAGCCTGCATTTACACCGTCCTCCTGTTTCCTGTTCCTGCCCCCTTCCCCAGCTGGAAACCCATCACCGACTATGTGGACCAGCAGTTCGAGCAGTACTTCCGGGATGAGAGCGGCCTCAACCGCAAGAACATCCAGGATAACAGGGTGCACTGCTGTCTCTACTTCATCTCTCCGTTTGGGCATGGGTAGGTGCTGGGCCAGGCTGGGCTGAGCAGGGCAGGGCCAGGCTGGGGAGGGCTGTGCCAGTCACCATGCCGTGACCACACAGGCTGCGTCCAGTGGACGTGGGCTTCATGAAGGCCTTGCATGAGAAAGTCAACATCGTGCCACTCATCGCCAAAGCCGACTGCCTCGTGCCCAGCGAGATCCGGAAGCTAAAGGAACGGGTGAGCCAGGCCTCCCCAGGGCGGCAGGCTGGGGCAGGAAGAGGAAACCCCATCCCTGACAGCCACCACTCCTCCACACCTCCCCAGATCCGAGAGGAGATTGACAAATTCGGGATCCACGTGTACCAGTTCCCTGAGTGTGACTCTGATGAGGATGAAGACTTCAAGCAGCAGGACCGAGAACTGAAGGTGGCAGGGCCAAGGCTGGCGGGGGGCAGGGGCTGCCAGCCCTGAGATAGAGAGAGCCCATCTGTCACTTAATTCCCTCTCAGGGTTGAAGAAGTACCAGTGGGATCCCCCCACCGGGTGGCGCTCTAGGGCTGGGTCGCTTACCTGACTGAGCTTTGCCTGCTTCCCATTGGGTCACCTGCACAAGGGGACCAGCCCCATGACCCCAGGGACAGGCATCCGGGCCTCTGCAGCTGCCACTGCTGGGGCTCTGGGAGAAGGGTGGGTGGCCAGCAGGGAATGGCACCAGCTGGCCTGGCACGCCTGTGGGGTCAGCTGAGCTCTTTCTTCCCTTCCCACACCTCCCTAGGAAAGTGCCCCTTTTGCAGTCATTGGCAGTAACACGGTGGTGGAGGCCAAGGGGCAGCGTGTCCGAGGGCGGCTGTACCCCTGGGGCATCGTAGAGGGTGAGTTGGGGTCAGGTCATTGGGAGCCCGGGATGTTAAGGCCCTAACCCCCCCACCCACACCTCCCCACCGTGGCCCTCCTCCAGCCACCTACCACCCACTGCGGCACCCCAGCGTGGTGAGTCCAGCCACCCACCGCCTGCTACGACACCCCAGTGTGGGTGACATCCAGCCACCCACTGCCCACTGTGGCACCCCAGAGTGGGTGACAGCCACCCACTGCCCACTGTGGCACCCCAGCATGCTGAGTCCAGCCACCCACTGCCCACTGTGGCACCCCAGCATGCTGAGTCCAGCCACTCACTGCCCGCTGTGGCACCCCAGCGTGGGTGAGTCCAGCCACCAACTGCCCGTTGCTGCCCCCCAGTGGAGAACCAGGCGCACTGCGACTTCGTGAAGCTGCGCAACATGCTCATCCGCACACACATGCACGACCTCAAGGACGTGACGTGCGACGTGCACTATGAGAACTACCGAGCGCACTGCATCCAGCAGATGACCAGGTGGGCATGCAGCCCCTGGGCCTGGCCCCGGCCAGGGCGCGGGAGATGGGCGCAGCGCAGGCATTCTGCAGCCCACCACGCTGAGCCCCCTGTCCCCGCAGCAAACTGACCCAGGACAGCCGCATGGAGAGTCCGATCCCCATCCTGCCCCTGCCCACCCCCGACGCTGAGACGGAAAAGCTCATTAGGATGAAGGATGAGGAGGTGGGTGGGGACCCAGGGGAGGAGCCAAATGCTGGGGGGAGGAGCCAAGTGCATGGGGGAGGAACCTGGGCCGCATGGGAGGAGCTGGGTGTGGGGGGGCTCAATGGCCATGTGGGGAGAGCTGGAGGGGGGCTCAGTGGCAGGGGAGGGGGCTGGTGCTGGTCTTGACCTCTCCCCTGCCTTCCCCCTCCCTAGCTGAGGCGCATGCAGGAGATGCTACAGAAGATGAAGCAGCAGATGCAGGACCAGTGACCTCGCCCCTCCCCCACGCCGTCTTGGCTCCCACCCCTGAACCCCAGACAGGCCTGGCCTCCCGCCCCAGGATTCGCTGGGATCTAGGTCTGGCCTGGACCCAAGCCCAGAGCGGCCCCTGACCTGACTGTTCCCAACCGGAAGAGGATGCGGAGCCTCTGCCCCCCTCCGTACTGACCCTAATTTATTCTGAGCCCTGGCTTCTCCCAGGCCATTTGTGCTTGCTCCCAAGGGTGCCAGGACATGCCACGGCCCCATTTCTGCCCACTGGCCCCCTCTGGCCCCCATGGAACAGGAGCTGAAGTGGAGGCATCTTCCGACATGCCTACCCCCAAAGGGTTGCTCAATACCTCTGTAGGCTTAAGGGGTGGGTACGCAAGGCAGAGGAGGGGGCCTTGCGCCTCTCGCCCAGGGCTGCGGAGGAGACCTGGGAACTCTCTGGTGCCTGCCCAGGCAGGGTTGCCCCAGGGAGGCCCCAGGTGGGCCCAGTCCTCCCTTCACACTGCCCAGGTGGGCTGGTTCCTCCCTTCCTTCCATCCATGTGCGCTCCGGCAGAGCCCTTAGTGACCCTGTAGGGGTCGGGCTGCTCTCCACCTCACGTGGGCGCTTCTGCCGCACGTGCACTTCTGCTCTGTGCCAGGCCCAACCCTAACTGCACCCAGACTGCGGGCCGTTCACTGTCCCGAGCGCCAGGCCCCCACCCCCGCCCTCCCTCTGGCAACCCTTGGCCCTGGATCTCCCATGTGTACTCCCCCCACCCCACCATCCCGCATGGCCCTCCAGCTCCCCCAGCTCCGTTTTGTTCCGTTGTGAATGCCGTGTCCTGTGCTGGCGACAGGAGAACATGTTGGTGAAGTGGCAGTGGCTCCGTGCTGCGTGCGGCCCTGGGCGGGTGGGGGGACGACGGAAGCACGTGGCGGCGGGCCAGGAGCGATAGCCCCCTATCTGTAGCCACAGTGCCCCGGGAGTGCAGCCCTGGGGTTATTCCTGGCGGCCTCTGTGGTCTGTGCCCCACAGCCGGGCCTCTCTCTCCCAGAGCAAACGGGGCCAACAAGCTCTTCACCATGGGCTCCGGTGAGTCCAGGGGTCTGGTAGAGATGCTCTCCCCAACCCCACTCCCCGCGCGTCCTCCCTGGGACAGACAGACCTGGCTTAGGGGAGCGCTCAGGTGGGAAGGGAGAGAGACTGGAGGCCACCTGGGTGGAGAGGGGACCTGGCAGCAAGGGTGCGCAGTGTGTTCCCAGGTGGAGAGTTTCGCGGACCTAGCGACTCGCCCAGCTCACAGTGGCGCTTCTCTTCCAGGGCCGCGCGGGGCTCTGAGCCTGCTGCTCCTGCTGCTGGCTTCGCCAGCCAGCCGCGCGGCCTGCCCCGCGTCCTGTGCTTGCGCAGGGACATACGTGGATTGCGGGCGCCGTGGGCTGACCTGGGCGACGCTGCCAGCCGTCTTTCCGCCCAACACCACAGAACTGGTGCTGACAGGCAACAACCTGACCATGCTGCCACCGGGGCTTCTGGATGCGCTGCCCGTGCTGCGTACCGTCTACCTGGACGCAAATCCCTGGCGCTGTGACTGCCACCTGGTGCCGCTGCGCGCTTGGCTGGCCGGCCGACCTGAGCGCGCGCCTTACCGTCACCTGCGCTGTGTGGCGCCTGCAGTGCTGCGTGGCCGCCTGCTTGCCTACCTGGCCGAGGACGAGCTGCGAGCCACCTGCACGCTGGGCCACCTCTGCTGGGGGGCCTTGGCGGCACAGATGGTGCTGCTAGGCCTCGGCCTGTTGCACGCGCTGCTGTTGGTGCTACTGCTGTGCCGCCTGCGGAGGCTAAGCGCCCTCCGACGCATCACACCTCAGCAGTCCCTGACAGCCCCGCTGGTGGGTGCGCAGGCTACAGTTGACGCGTCCTGAGAGAGGAGCCGGACACCAGGCCGGGAGCACCGGGGAGGGACCCTGCGCTCAGAGCCCCGCTCTGGCTCACAATTTGCCCCCCTACACGTTGTCCCAAATCCCCGAGGGACGAAACGCCTCGTGCGGCTCCATTTCTGGAGCAGTGGCGCTCAGACCCTGCATATTCTCCCCTCCTGGCCTGCAGAGCTCAATAAACCTTTCTCCTCTGTATTTGTGCCAGAGTCCTGCCACCCTCCCTCCCCCCATGCACACACACGCTCCCTCTGAGGCCTCCAGGAAAGTCCCGGGGGGGGGCGGGAGGGGGGAAGGTGGCTCATAGAGACACATGATTGCAGCCTAACATGCTAGCCAAGTCCCTGTGCGTGGTGGGATGGTGACAGTACAGACTGGGCCTGGGAAGTTTGGGGTGTGGGTTGTGGGAGTCAAGTGGGCAGCAGGGGGGGTGGAAAGTCTCTTCTCCCCAGCATTGGTCATTAGCCCCAACCATAAAGCGTTCTGCCATACCACTTCCCTCCCCGTCTCACCCAGCTGAGGTGCTCACGGTGTGCTGGTAGTTAACCCTGCTCCCACCTCTTCCAACAATCCCTAAAGCTTTAGGGTCCTGGGGTGGCCACCCCCCATGAGGGCCTCTCAAGCCATGACAACCACTGCTGTGCTCGCTGGCTGCTGGGGGTGCCTGGGACAGGACACCCTCCCCTGCCCTTGGGGACCCGGATGAGAGGCCTCAGACCTGTTCCCTCCCCACCCCACCCCATGACAACAACTGACCTGGGTCGGGAGGCTGCCACTGACACGGCCTTTGTGGCCAAGACGGATGGCCCTGGAGCAGGGCTGATGCTATCTCGGGGCCGAGCCAGCTCCTCTTGGGAGGCAGGTGCCCGGCATCCGGCTCATTGTCGACTATGGCCCTCATCCGGCTTTTATCACCGCATCAACTACGATGGCCGCCTTCACACAAATGAGCTGTCCACCTTAGCCTTCCCAGGGTGTGGGGAGGGGGCAGGGTCCCTCGTGGCGGGTCAGAGGTCACGACCAGACAGTTGGACTGGGTCATGAGCTGCTCAAGGAGGAAGCGAAGAGGCCCAGGGGATCCCTGGGCATCCTTGGTGACCTCCAGGGGCTTGGTCTGCATGATCTGAGAGCGCCCAGGCAGGCATGTCCCCCAGTGGCAGTGACATAGGGACCCCCAAAAGCAGCAGGAGAGGGGAAGGGAGCTGGGGTCCTGATGTGAGGGAAGGGCCGCTTGCTCCCTGACAGGTGTGACAGGGACTGGACCCCAGGGGCTGGACCCCAGGAGGTCGCCCTGGGTCGGCCCCTTGCCTGTTTTCCCTCTTTGAGCCCAGCCACAGACCACATTCAGCCGCACCCACCCTGCTGACCCCAAGCTGACCCGCCACGTGCTGACCCTGGGGCCTAGAGGGGAAGTGGATGGTCCCAGCTCAGCGCCCCTGAATGGTGCAGGGGGAGAGCGGGCGGGGAAGAGAACTGTGCTGGCCCTGGCTCTGTCTTCACAGACTGTGCACCTGTCACAGGCCACCTGGTCCCCTCTGCACCCTCAGACCAAGAAGGCAGGGTCTCCTGTGTCCAGCCTCTGACTCAGAACCTCCAGTGCCCAGGCTGGCTGACCCCTGGTCCTTAGCCACCATCATTTAATCTCCTCCTCCTCTGATTCAGGCATGTCTTGGTTCAGACTATGTGCCCCCTCTCTGAGGTCTAGCAGCAGCAGCTGGTGGCTGGGTGTGCAGATCAGGCTACATCTAGGGCCCACGCACAGCTAGCAAGCCGCCGGGTCCTTTGCGGCCCATCTGTGGAACGGGTGCGAGGAAGCCCGAGCTGCAGCGACCCTGTCCTCCGCTGCTGCAGCCAGAGGGCGCGCGCGGTCCGCAGAAGACGCCCGCCACGGGCCAGCCTGCAGAAGCCCAGGCCCCGGGTAGGGGAGCAGGGGGTTCCTTCCCGTGGCTGGCCCGGGCGCCCTGACAGCCCGTCAAGCGGATAGATAAGAGACCTCTTCCGCAGGCTGCAAGGGGAGGTCAGCCCAGGTGCGCCCTCCCTCCGCCTCTGGTGTTTGCTCGGTAAACACTTATTGGGCCCCTGCTGTGTGCACCATGGTGGGGGGAGGAGGAAGAAGAGGAGGAGGGCTGTGCCCTATGTGACAGAGCCAGGAGTGGCCAGGAGTCAGCTTCCCGCAGGCCTGGGAGCTGCTGTGGGGGCACGCCACTGCCCCGCCAGCCCTCCCATAGAGGAGGCCCTGGGGCGATCGGTCGTGGGGGGCTCCGCCCCGGCTGTGTGGGGGAGGGGGCTGCACCCGCTGTCCAGACAGAGCAACAACATTGGCGTGGGTGGCAGGGGCGCCCCCCTGGGGGCCCATAGCTCACCGCGGCGTCTGCGCCCACCCTCGGCGCCGTTTCCTATGCCAGACAGGCGGCTCGTTATAAATCACCAATCCCCACCCACCCACTCACCCACTACCCGGGCGACAGAGACCCAGAGACAGAGGGAGAGAGACCAGGACGGGGAGGTGGGGAAGAGGCGCCTACCACCACCCCCTCCCCAGGCCCATCTGGAAACCAGCTGAGAGACCCCCACCCCCACTCCGGCTGACCACCGCCCCCCCAGCAGGGAGGTGGAGGAGGCAGCGGGGGAGGTGGGCTTTGGCCGTGTGACTCCCGGTGGGAGGACTATAAATCAGCCAGGGGTCTTGGCCAGCCTTGCCACCGCTCCCCACGGCTCCCCACGCCACCCCCAGGCTGAGGGAGGGTCTTCAGGGTCACTGGTTCTGACGACCCAGGCCTGGCCTTGGCGGTGGCCCTCTCTGCTGCCCCCCAGCCCCCTACCTCTTGTTGTCAGCAGCAGTGCAACAGAGCCAGCTGTCTACACCCGCTGCCGTCTATACTGCATGCACACACAGGTTGGCAGTCTTGCCTTGCTTGCTTTCCAAGGACACATGGGCAGGGGCACTCTGACTGGGGTCCTCACTGTCCCTGGCCCCCATCACCATCAGGAGGCCTGGGGAAGGGTGCTCACCTCAGAGCCTTTCCGTGGCTGGAAAACGAGCCAGGGGCAGGGCAGGCTCAGGACTTCCAGGGCAGCTCAGTCTCTCGCCTCCTGGTCCCAGCTGGTACCTCGGCCAGGGAGAGGCACGTGGCAGGTCAGGCCACTGTGCTCAAGGACGCACATGGTGTCCCCCCAGAAATCACCTGTGTGCACATGTGTGTCCATATGTGTGTTGTGTTCGTGTGTTTATGTAAGTTCATGTGTTATGTGTTTGGGTCCCTGACATGATAACCACTGGGCGCTCTCTGGCCTGCCCTGGATCTGGTCACGTGGCCCTTAGAATGAAGTGGACCCCAGAGAAGAGGAGGGAGGGTCGTGGAGTATATGGGGGGTGGAGTCTGTCACGCAAGCATTCATTCTCAATCATTGTTGCTCACTGCAGTTGGCAGCCCTATCCAGAGGCCTCGGCAAGGCCAGTAAGAAAGACACAGCAAGCTGACTCCTCCTCTCTTCAAAACCGTCCCCTTCCTTTGTGTCCCCAAGGCCAAGGAGAGATGGTCCCTGCCTGGACACCCATGACTAGCAGCTCCATCCGTGGCCAGGGATCAGGGGATGGGAAGGGACAATGCTTCCAACAGCCAGGGTTGCACCATTCGACGTGGGAGAATGGAGTGGTCTGAGTGGCAGCTAGAGCCTGGGGACAAGCCAGCAGGAAGCTCAGGGGAGCTGCAGTCCCCCCACCGCCAACAGCTACCTTTCTGCCCGCCCCCCATGGGTTCTTGTGGTCGATCCGGCATGCCAGGCACAGGCACAAAGGAGGCTATGGCCGGGATTAGGTCCCCGCTGTGTGCCACAGCAGCCAGGCCAGGGTCTCCAGAACCCTGGATGACGAGGGAAGTGCTGCCCATATCTGTCCTTCCGGGCGTCCTTACCTTCAGTCTGTTTGGATGTGATGGGTGTTGCTGAGTTTGTGCTTCCTTTTGCTGTGTTTATCTAAAGATGCTCTTCAAGAATTCCAGCCAGCCGCTACAGATGCCAAGGAGGGAAGGGGCTCTGTCTGAGCGGGTCTGGGGGCAGGGCGGGAGCCCGTCACGGCTGCCTGTCCCGGCACGCCCGTCCCTGTACACATCACCCTCCTGGATGAGTGCAGCCTGGGGGCCAGGGGCTGAAAGGAAACCAGCACAGCACCACAGGCTGGGGAGGGCACAGCGGGGTGAGGGGGTACTGGACCCACAGCAATCTCCAGAGTGTCATTCTGGGGCCAGGAGGGGACAGTTTTGGGCACCCCATATGTGGGCACCCGGGTTTGAGCCCAGTCCCGCTTCCCGACAAAAGCACCTTAGCAAGGCAGCAGGTGGCGTTATGTACTCAATACCCTCCACCCTTGTGGGAGACCCAGATGAAGCTGCAGGCTCCTGGCTTTGGCCTGGCTCCACCCTGGACATCACAGCCATCTGGGGAATGAACCAGTGGATGAAAAGATCCCTGTGTAATTCTGACTTTCGAACATAAATATTAGCAAATGAGAAATATGAAAAGCAGGAACAGGGCTGTCTGAGGGGTCCCCGTGGAGGTCCTCCCACTGGATAGCGAGGGACCCAAGCACTGTGGCCACCTTCCACTGCTTTTCCTGTGTGTGTTAGGAGGAAGCTAGATCAGAAGTGGAGCAGCCAGGCAGGATTCAAACTGGCACCCACATGGGATGGCAATGCTGCAGGTGGAGGATTTACCAGCTGTGCCACTGTGCCAGCTCCCCTTTTGTGCGGAGCCATGGTGAAGCCACGATCGTCTTCTCTGAGACATGTGCCAACCCCCCACCTCCGTGGACAAAGACTGTCCCCAGCACCTCTGGTGGCGCAGCGAGGTGGAGACCTGGGTACACATGGTAGGTAGCGTACATGCTGCCCCTTGGACCACCAGCCCTGGCAGCGCGTTCCCCACTGAGGTGGGAGACCTCAGCACCCACTCCACTGACCTCCTGAAGCACCCTGAGGCCTGACCCACTCAGGGCTGTGGCTGTGAGCTCTCCAACCCCTCCCTGCCCAAGTTAGGTTCCCACCCTAGAGTGCTCCCTGCGGTTACCTGTGTCAGAACCTGGGCTGGTGCCCTCCTGGTGGGCAAGATGGACAGAACTGGTGAAGAGACAAGGCCCAGGGATGGCCCATTCTCTTGCCCCTAGTTACTCCACTTCTGATCCAGCTCCCTGCCAATGTGCC